GGCAATGAATGTACAAATGCGCTTTACACAATTGATGTATGTATGGATTGTGATAAGAGTTGTATGAGCCCCTAATAAAATTATTTTAAAAAAAAGAAACTTAAACATCCAAGTTCAGTTACTAAAACCAGAGTACTAATACTGAAAGTATGCTGGTTTGTTAGAGTAGCTACATATAAAACAGCACACATAAAACAAGTTTGCACGTGGCAAACAACAGGTTTTAAGGAATGTTATCAGGCACTGGGGGCGCAACGGAATACACCAAATGCACGTGGGCCCTTCCACCCCAGAATCACAAGGCCAGATGAAGAGGCTGAGCTCAAAATAAATACAACAATCATCAAAAATGAATGCAGGTCTGAGAGGGATCATATTAAAAGGTTCTGGATAAAGTGGCATGAGAGTAGGGGGTATGGAACAAAGCCAAGTTTACTCTACTGGCTTAACCCTAAGACATGAACTTTAGTTACCCTTCAGGTCCAGAACTGAATTGACCCCATGTTAGAATATTCCGCTGGTTGAGACCCAAAGGGCAGCATTTGCCCAAGGACATACAGAGGGTCAGGAAAGGAGGATGGAAATGAGGAAAGCCAGGGAGTTGGTGAGATGTATGAAAATGCATAAAAGGGATGGACTGTAATAGATGAGTTGAAACAAAATATTTACGAAATGTTGACTGTAAGAATGTACGATGATCTACTCTGGAAATGTTCACCTAACTCACAATAAAGTGTTTTTACAAATCAATTCATCTTCTGAGTCCAGGCAAGAGATGGCAAAGGGAGCACACAATTCAATAATGAGTTGTTGACTTTTTTTTTTTAAGTAACTTTCAGAAGCAAGGGTGAGGTAGAAGATCCAAATTTTACAACCGCACACATTAAATGTGAGGTACTGACACTGATTTAACACACCTGGAAGCAAGCCAGAGATACTGGTCTGAGAAGAGAATTTCTGGCTAAAAACATAACTTTGTCTATAAATAAGCAATACTGAAAGCCATGGTTATGGATGAAAACAACAGAGGTAGCACAAAACCTTGTGTTAAAATACTATACAATTAAGAAACAGGGTGAAGAAGGACCAAAAAAACCATGTTCAAAACAACAGAGGAAACTATTAGAAAAGCAGGGAAATGAGCATTTAAGGATTAAATGAAATGAGCATTTATGGATCAACTGTTAGGGGATGACGAAGAGCGGGTTCACGTGGAAAGGAAAGCTGTCTGCCAAGTCCATTCCAACCCAACAGGAACTGGCCCGGGGGGTTCCCAGACTGTAACGCTTTACCTTAGTAGAAAGCCTCAGAGGATCTCGGTGGAATTCAATTCTCCCAGAGGAACTGAGACAAAATACTGAACTACACTTTCCTGATGCTGTCACCAGATGGCAGTAAAACCTCAGCAGGGTTTTGAACAATCAGAGGCCTGAGGCAGCTGGACATAAACCTGGCAGGCATACAAGTCAGCTTCTAGTAGCTCAGAGGAGAGCTTCCCTTCAAAACACCCAAGCCACTCACCTTCCAACTTTAAGCAAAAAAATCACCCCAGTAGCCATCATTTATCTAAAGTATCCTCTTTGATAATGTGATATTAGCTGTGTTGCTTCCATAAAATGCATTGAAGACCCACTATATCAGCGGTCAACCTGTGTGTTGACCCTTTTTGGGGTGGAATGACCTTTTCACAGGGGTTGCCCAATTCATTACAGTAGCAAAATTAGTTATGAAGTAGCAACGAAAATAATTTTATGGTTGGGGGGTCAGCACAACATGAGAACTGCATTAAAGGGCTGCGGCATAAGGGAGGTTGAGAACCACTGCACTGTATGAAAAGTTCTAGGTGAGTTGACGGGAACCTTGGTGTCCTGAGTTAGGCTATAATAAGTATGGTTGGCAGTTCAAAACCACCCAGCAGCTCTACAAAAGAAAAGACCGGGCTTTCTGATTCCGGAAACAGTTCCCTCTCAGAAACCCACCGGGGCCACTGTAGGTCCGCACTGACTCCATGGTAGTGAAGCAAGCACAGTGATACTGCCACCATCCATCTACCTAATAACAAGAGACGGGTACTTAGTGGCTAACAGGCAGGTAGCACAAGCATCTTATACAGCACAGACACACAAGCAAAGGGATGTGATTCACGTCCTGGGTGGAGACCTCATTGTGCCACTCAGAACTACGTGCAATTTAAATCTCTTGATTGCTAATCATGGCAGCAACTGAAACTTCAAAAAGCAAAACCATGGGAAAGGGGGCACACACTACTGTAGATAGAAAATGAATCTGGGTTCTTAAAGACAGGACTTAAATCAGAACAGTGTCTACTAAAAATATAATGGAGCCATATATATCATCCCAATCTTACCAAATCCGCTGCCATTAAGGCAATTTCAACTTACAGTGACCCTATCTAATCCTAGCCAATCCACTACATGTGCCGCTATGATGGGTCGGTGGCGGACTGCATGTTGCTACGATGCTGACAGGGTTCCGGCCGAGCTCACTACAAGTAGAAAATAAAGGTGTGGCAAACTCCTTTGGAAAGCCAGTCAATGAAGGCCTATGGCCCACAAGAGATCAGAGATGGTGTGGGACGCAGCAGTGCTTCATGTCGTTGTGCATGTGGCAATCATTAGTCAGTCAGAAGCCAACGTGATGGCAGTTAACAAAAAGGAAACACTACTCTAGTTCATAAAACAAAAGCAAACTTCAAGGGTCCACACACAAAGAACATTAGTAGAGTTGTAAGTATCATTCTCTGACAGGAGGCCTCTTTTTATTCATGAGGAAATTTCCTTTCTCGCTCTCTGTGTGCCTGTATACAACTGGCTTCCTCTACGCTCACTATAATTTCACCAAATACTGAGTTCCTTCTTTTACTGGGCTTAACATCTGTGATGTTTAGATTTTATGTCAACTTGGTGGACCTGTGTGAAAGATGTGAGTAGTGTCCAACCTCTCAATCAGGATACAGTCCGGTAACATCTCCACGGAGGTTGGTGTTCTTATGAAAAGTGCTGTGTGTGGAGAACTTCTCCATCTCCTGCCCGTGTTCTTCATGCTTGACTATGTCCTGTGTCTAATGTCGGGAGCTGGGTGACCTATGTGGCCCGCAGCCACTGAGAGAGGTTGGCACCCTGCCTTGTTACTGTGAATCTTGGACCCAAATGACTGCACCCACTGGCCTATAATCTCCCCACTTTCTACTTCACCTTCCAATTTCAATGACCAGCAGCTGCTTGAATCTGGATGGGGTTCTAGCCAGCATCTGACCCGCGAACATGACTTGGACCTGGCTGGACTGCTTCTTTGATATAATTTTTTCTTCATATAAAGTTCTTTCTTATATACATAAGTATCCTCGTTTTGTTTTGTTTTTTAAGAAAACCCACTAACACAACACCTAATTGTTTAACATACTTTGTATTTGGTTTCAACTGCTTGTCTTCAGAGTTTGTGTCTTTGAGAGAACACGAGGCAATGATTGTCAAAAAATTCTTCTAATCCTTAAGTGAAATAGATGCCTTGATGTTTATCCGTTTAGTTTTCCTTCCATAACAATATAGGTACCACATACAGCTATGACAAATGCTGGAGTACCTGGAGGTGGGGGTTGGGGTGCACAAAAGTAAGTGCTGTCAGGTTGAGGCACACTGAAAGGCTCTGCCCCCGAGGATCGATCACAAGTCTAAAACCAATGGAGCAGTTCCAGTCTATCTACTTGGGGTTGCAGAGCCAGAATTAACGTGAAGGGCACTACGTAATAACTTCAAACGATAGGGGCACTCTGTTGGTAGTACAATGCACAGCTACATATGATGATACAAAAAGGCCTAAATCTTCTTAAATTTTATCTTCCATGATATGATCATC